TATTGTTCATCAGACGAAACAAAAGCATTTCATTTTCACATGTGTGTAAGTCAAGGTGGCGAGAAAGGCAAGATTCCATATAAAAAAAATTAATGAATGGGAATAGGAGCAGGCTTCACTCAATGATTAAACATAAACTTTAAGAATGCTGGCCTGATGATTAGAATATATAACGTTAAACAGGAAAGAGGCCGCACTATGCATAAATTGTTTTATTTGCACAAACGCGTTTCGGCGCGTGCCTTCTTGAAACGCGTTTGTGCAAATAAAACAATTTATGTATAGTGCGGCCTCTTTCCTGTTTATATATATAAAAAATTAAAATATACATAAACAATATTCGAATAGTAACTTCAGCATTCGAATAGTATTGATTTTTTTTAATATTCGAATTATATTCGAATTTCGGAATTCGTTCCAACAGCCCTACTCGGTTGTAACGAGTGGTTATTTCAGTCAAAGTTGCTCTTCTATCAGCTTGAATCAGTCGGCCCATTCTCCTCTGACCTCTAGCATCAACAAGGCATTTTCGCCCACAGGACTGCCGCATACTGGATGTTTTTCCCTTTTCACACCATTCTTTGTAAACCCTAGAAATGGTTGTGCGTGAAAATCCCAGTAACTGAGCAGATTGTGAAATACTCAGATCGGACCGTCTGGCTCCAACAACCATGCCACGCTCTTCTTTCCCATTCTGACATTCAGTTTGGAGTTCAGGAGATGGTCTTGACCAGGACCACACCCCTAAATGCATTGAAGAAACTGCCATGTGATTGGTTGATTAGATAATTGCATTAATGCGAAATTGAACAGGTGTTCCTAATAATCCTAGGTGAGTGTATATGTCAACTTATTCTAACCCTACCAGTCTACTGACACTCTAATGAGAGTTAGTAGACATGTAGATGCCAAGTTGTTTAGTCAACAGAATGTGTTAAAGGGACCATCAAAATAAAGTCAAACCAATTCTATTGACTTAAACAAACCTTGTTGCAATAGTAACATTTCAAAAATGGGAAAAAGCACCTCCATGTTTTTTCCCAAAGGTTTGCATGCCTGAAACTCAAGAAGTATTAAATATATCTTAATATCATTTTAGATTTTGGTTCTTAACAACTTTATTTTGATATCTTCACTTTTAAGGCCCTATATGGTTCAATCCCAGAGATATGGGGATTTTGTGGTAAATTGTGCACCTTATCAGTTGTCAAAAATCAAATGTGGGTCACTTTGCATACAGCTGATACTTTTTTCTGTTGAAGAGGAATGTCTGAGGAACAAATAATGTTACAACAAGAACTAGAATTAAATATGCTTTTGAATATCAAACTGTGTAAAGTTCCTGGGGAAAAACTACAGAAAATGTGAGACGTGAAGCTAGAAATTATTTTTAAAACCACATTTGGTTTAAATGCTAAAATGTTTCCATCTGAACAGGTTGGATTGGACTTGTTTTTTTTTGCTCATTCTTCCCTAAATCAATGAGGGTTTTCGTACAAAACATATAGCTGTGGGAATTAAAAGAACAAGTTCCTACCTATGACCCTCAGGGACTGTCTAACACTTTTCCCTCAGGGACACCATTTTCCCGCCCGCTCTAATGTTTCAGTTGGCATGGAGGGAGGGAGTGAGATTATGCAACGGAAAATGAGGAAGAGTGATGGAGGTGTAGGAGTACAGGACTTTTTTCTTTTTTTTTCAAGGAGAGCAGCAGTGACCTGGTTTATTTCCTCTACCAGCTCAATATCAATGGGATTCTCGTTTACTCAAATAGGATTGTAGGAGAGTGATTTATATTTAGGTTCCTCTAAGACAGGGATTTTTCAAGCAAAAACATATTTTTAATTCCAAGAGGCCCATAATGTCATTTGCATTTCACTTCAATCAAATATACGGATATGAGTGTATTGCAGAATGAGTTTCTCATGTAAACCAAATGCTGTATTTGGCTCGTTCACAAAGTTTAACATCTGTGGAATCAACCGTTCCAAAAACAATGAGCTATGACACATCTTGCCAGTAGATATTCAGTTGTACCAACCATTAAGGAATCATATAATGCAAACGACCACTTCCTCTTCATCGAATTTAGATTATTCAGAATTTAGGAGATAAATTTAGAGATGTAACATATCAGGCCCCGTTTACACCTGGTATTAAGAAGCCTTTTCGTTGACCAGATCACAAGTGGACGACGCTAAATACGGGTCTAAACGGGGTCTAAATTGTTTTGAGTAACTAACTACCCACTTCCAGAGGTAGTTGAAAACGCATTCGACAGGATTTCTTTCGTAGTGTGAAAAACACTTATGTGTTCGAACAGCCACAAAAGACCATCTACTCTCCGCCTACTGGCCTAATGCTTAAACATTACGGGAAGCGCTCTAGCCAGACGGGATCTCAACTTTCTCGGATGAAGATCCAAGTTTGATTTGAAAACGAAAAACGTACCAAAACCAATGATCTGAAAAAACCCCATACAGTAACATTTACCCACCCATAGACCCTTGAAGGAATCAGGACAGAAGGGATTGAAAGTGGACAAAAGCGATGGATTAAAACACCAGGGGCCTCATGTACAAAGACTTGCGTTGAATTCATACTAAAACATTGCGTACGGACAAAGCTGTAAATGTGCGCACGCACAAAAAAAAGCAGATGTATGAATCTCTGCGTACGAAGGATCCCACGCATATTCTCTTTGTACATCCAAATTAACGTAAAATTGAGCCCACATGCACGAGCACAACGCCCCACCCAGTCTCCTACCCCAATTAAATTAATTTAAATATGGTAAATAGTCCAATTTGGCAAAAGAAACCTGCAAGAACATGGCTAAAGCAAGCAAGAAACGAAATTTCACTGAAAATGTCTTCTATGTGAATATATAGTAAAGTGTAATTTATTCCTGTGATCAAAGCTGAATTTTCAGCATCATTTCTCCAGTCTTCAGTGTCACGTGATCCTTCAGAAATCATGCTAATATGATGATTTGATGATCAAGAAACATTTGATTATTATCAGTGTTGAAAACAGCTGTGCTTCTGCTTCATATTTTCGTGGAAACCATGATATAGTATTTTTAGGATTCTTTAATGAATAAAAACTTAAATCAAACAGATGTCGAAATCTTATAATCTTTTTTAACATTATAAATGCATTTACTGTCACTTTTACTTGTCACTTCAATGTGTCCTTGCTGAATAAAAATATTACTTTCTTTTTTTATCTTTATTGACCGAATTAATGAAGTTTATTTTTTTTAGTTAAGCCAACGCTAGACGGGTTGTATCAATTTGGACATGCTTTATATATGTTCTTACTTAATTGCATAATATAATATTTTAATAAAACTCGTGTGACAATGTCAAATAATTTATCAATTACAAATTATAAGCAATATCTGACAGCTGGTGGTGCGATAGAACAATTCGTAGTGTAATGTTTGCCACTTCACTTTATTGCCTCTATGAGTCGCCAACGGACAAAAATCACGACAAATGTACGTACGGCAGACATGAAGTTTACTTGGAGGAACGCACATTCTTACGTCAATTTCACTGTTAGTACATCTGGCCGTGAACGTGAAAGCTGACGTACGCCGTGTTTTTGTGCGAACGCAGTGTTGATACATGAGGCCCCAGGTGTAAACAGGAATGTGTCTCCTATTTATACTGGGCTTCAAGTACTGACTAGTACGCCAAAAATCTGTAGTTTTGCACATCCCTGTGCCTTAAGTTTAAGTCCTCTCATCTAGTTGTTAGATAATGTAGCTAAAGAGAGACACCGCTGTCATGAGCTCTTGTGTGTCGGGTCATGTGCAGCGGCGACTCCTGTAAGCTGCCTCTGGCGAAACGTAATACCGTTACCTTCTTACATGGATCCCTACTTGAGGTTTAATAGGCTTGCTTGCTTGAAAGTTGCCCTGCTCTACTCTAGTTTCAGGAATCGAGTATCACTTGATACATACAGGTGCTACTGTGTGTGTGTGCGTTTGGTTGTTGGCTCTCCCAACCCCCAGTCTCCCCTCCGAGAGCTGGCCCTTTGAAGCACACACCAGCTGACCGTGCCAAATCAGCAAATGTGTGTGTGTGGGGGTTGCGGAGTGGTCCGTATGCATGTGTGCCCACCACCACCCTCTGTATTGTAAGGCACCAGGCTCAGCTTTCTACAGATTGTGAAGGATCTGTGTGTGTATAAAGGGTTTGTTTATGCTCAGATATACATGAATATGCATGTCATTGATCCAGTGTGTAATTGTATCAAAGTTTAGACCTTGGCGAACCTTTAATATGGTGCCTCCAACCCCACGGTTGGAACGATAGTCCATGAACTGGTGTTTATTTGATTTTCCCCTTTCATAAAGCTCTTAGGTTTCTTCTAGGTAAGAAGTTCACAAACTATCATGAACCCCTGGTGGATCTACAAGTTGTTTTTAAGATCGCTGCTCTACCTTTGAAAAGTGTACTTGTAGATGGTACATACTTCCCTTGGTAACACCCACATTAAGCTTACAGTAGTGCTCACGCTTTTAACTGATAGTATGTATACATGTTGAGGATATGTAATTCTACAGCGCAATGAAATGCTTGGAGTCTTCTGTCGAAATTTAGGACGGATTATAAGCCTGCACCACAAATCAGTTTATATGCTTTTGGCTGCATTGCAGATGGTAGCTTAACTTGTAACAGGCTTTCAGCTAAATCAGATATTCTCAAATGCAAAACATATCAAAGGGTCATGCTTGTTTTTGAAAGGGATGTGTGGTTTGGAGCGTGAGATATATTTGTAATCTACCCAAGCAGTTTTTACCACTCAGCCATTGAATAGATCATTAAATGTGTCATGGAGGTGTATTTAGCTGTTAAATGACAAGGCTATACAGTACCGGTAGAGATTGGGTGTTGGTGTTATATTGCACCATTGAGTGAGCTCATCACGTATTGTTGGAAGACAATGTGCTATTACATCCGTTCCCTAATAAATGTTATTTCTTCCAGGCACGCATCAAATTCCCCATTGACTACCCGTACTCGCCTCCTGCCTTCAGATTCCTCACCAAGATGTGGCATCCCAACATCTATGAGGTTATACTCCAACCCAATCAAACTACAGCCTGATCAGTGTTGGCTTGCATTAAAACTTATATGAATTCAATTCATTTTATTACACAAACATGTAATACTTATTATGAATGTTGCCTTTTTATTTAAAATGAATGAATGTAGGAATTTACCTAATTTGACCATCCTAGTTGCTTTTGCATCAGACCCTTTTTCCCCCCTTAAAAATGGAATTGAATGTGATAAAATAAATGCACTGTGTTTATACAGAAGACCACACTGATATTTAAAATCTAGTTAAATGTAGTATACGTCTTTTAAGATTTATTTTTTAAAATAAAAAGATTAAAACAAAGACGGGTTATAATGTAAACTATTTCTAGGTCACTTATCATATCAAGTTTATTTATATGGCACTTTATATAATAAATATTGGTTCAAAGCTTTTCAATAAAAATCAGTGTATAATAATAATAATAATAATAAAAAATGTAAATCCATTTTTAATTCACTCTGTTTTAATGCTGGTAATATAATTTAATTTATAAATTAGGGGAAATTTCACTAACGATTTTAATTTTACTTGTGGTTTTAAGACTTTCGAACTCCAGAATTTAAGAAAAAAATATATATATTAGTGATTTTATTAACTCTTTCCCTGCTATTGACAGAATTTTCCAGCTTTCCGTGTTTTACCCACATTCAAGTGTTGATTAAAATAAACAAATGTTTAATTCTAGCTTTAATCCAATCTTTTTTTTTTTAAAGCAGAGGCTCTGTTCTTTCTTTTAAAATATTTCATCCTCAGATATTCATACAAATAAATATTCTGGGGGCCATGAAATTGTGAAAATTATCAAAAACGCTTGTGGCGGCTGGCAATTTCTTTTTTTTCTTCTTTTTTTTTTTACCTCTGGTGGGGAAAGAGTTAACAAAAAAATCAAGAGATTCAAATGTGCTGACAGCCCCTTTAACATTTATTTCAGAATGGCGACGTATGTATTTCCATCCTGCACCCGCCAGTGGACGATCCCCAGAGTGGAGAACTGCCATCAGAGAGGTGGAACCCAACACAGAATGTGAGGTACAACATACTTCTTAATCAAAAGCCTGAATGTTACAGCAGGATATTTGACAGTTTCCCTTGTGATTGTTTACACAATGCCTCTTCCTCTGTTCAGCTTAACAGATTGAGATTAATAATTAAGCCAAATGGTCGTAATTGATTTCATTAAATCAGCTGATATCTGCTTCCTTTTCAGAACGATCTTATTGAGCGTTATCTCACTGTTGAATGAGCCCAACACCTTCTCGCCAGCCAACGTGGACGCCTCTGTCATGTACCGCAAATGGAGGGACAGTAAGGGGAAAGACCGCGAATATGCAGAGATCATCAGGTTCGAAAAACCCTTTCACTCATTGCGGTCATGCTTGGACACATTTGCATAATATACATAATTTGTTGTATTTTGAGGGTTACACTCAACTGCATGTTTTGGTCCTGGTTCACAGGAAGCAGGTTTTAGCCACCAAAGCCGAAGCAGAACGGGACGGGGTCAAAGTGCCCACCACACTGGCGGAATACTGCATCCGTACCCGCGCCCCACCTGCCGACGAGGGCACCACCTTATTCTACGATGACTACTACGATGATGAGGATTTAGACGACGACGATGAAGAGGAAGGTGAGGACTGTCGCTATGATGAAGATGACTCTGGGACGGAGGACTCTTGACGACCCGAGCTTTCCGAACTCTTCACTTCTGGTTTCCATTTGGTTTTAAATCAAGGAAAAGGAATATTTTTCTGTTTGAAGATCCTGAGGTCCCCAACGTCACAAAGGGCAAGAGGTCATTGATCCCGATGAACTGTTTTTGTACTTCTGTTCGAACGGCAACTAACAGTTGCAGTCAACTCTAAACCCAGACGCTTTGAGGGTTTGTTTTTTATTTCTTACATTTTGTTTTGTCTGGTTTTTTGGGGGGCAGGTTTGGTTCAACCAATCAGTGCGAAACAGTCCAGCTCATGTTTATTTGGTCCTTGATAAACAACTAACTTGCCTTTCAAAGGCACCTGATCTCAGGTTTTCCATTTCTGTGATTTAACAGTATTGGCGTCTTGAGTGGTGGGGGGGAGGGGGAGGAAAGTAGCTAATACACATTCTCAGGGCTACTTCTCTTTCTTACACCACAATGCATTATATTGTGCTTCTGTAGCCAAGGACTGAACAAGCTTCTTCGATAAATGTTCTCCAGAAGAGGATTTCTACAAGGCGTTTGGTAAATTGATGCATCGCATACAGTTCACACCATTCTAAGCTTGGTTTCCTTTGGGACTTCAATAGGTGTCATTTTACCCACAAACAAACCTGTCTTTATGTGTGTTTTGTTTTCGATTTTATGGGGTTGCGAGGTAGTTTGAATCTTGAGTTTGATTCTGCGCTATATTTAGCTACTCTTTGACATTTGAGGGTATTTTAGTTTTGTTATTCTGTATATCCTTATTCATTTTAAAGCTTTGTGGTGACTTTATTTGGAACCTAAAATCCTCCTCAGGAAAACATTGGTGTGTTTGTGGCTCACCTTTTGACCCCAACAGACTCTCTAAACCCGCTCAGCTGATTTATATGCACAAAGGGGTATTTTAGGCCACTTTCCCTTCTTGTTTGTACTTTTTTCTTTTTGGTATGCTTTGTAAATCTATTTAAAGTCTGAATAAAGGTCTTTATTAGAATTGCTGTAATTCAATTGTTGATGAATAAACAAATAATAAAATCCAATTATATAATGAATAGTAGATTATCTTTCTACACTGATATATATATATATATATTAATACAAATTAAATTAAAGCAACTGTAGATGGTGCCACTGTGGCAACTGGTACCAATTTTGCCACTAGAGGGCAGCAGTGGGCTTCTTATTGTTATGGAATTACATTTGTCAACCTAGCCTAACTATAGCTAATAGGTTAATGTGTTTATCTACCTGACATTTCTTTTTCAAAATTGAGCGTTTGGTTTAAATTTGCTACATTTCTAATTAAAGCAGCTCAAAATTAATGACATTATATACTTCAATTCCAGTGCCTGGGATATTTGAGTGAGTCAACATGGATCATGACATTCTGATGATGTAATTCCTGTGTGTGTGTGTATATATATATATATATATGAGAAGATAAAGCACCGTACTTTATAGTACAGTGCAAGTGAAGAAAAGGCTTAGACAGTCATCCCTTAAATAAATGTGAAGGAATAATTTGTTATATAAAGGTATAAATCTTGATCGCAGGTGGTAGACCTTTCATGGAATGAGGAATGAATGGAGTTTCACACACATGCCAAGATGAAGGGCCTTTGTCAAGATATCATTGTAGTCTGGAGTTTTTCTTCACATCTATGACGCCGACAAACCTTGAAGGTCAGCTAAACTGAAAGGTCTTTGATTGGAGGCATGACCTCGGCATAAGGCATTGATGATCTGCGACTCTGATCTGTCATGCCAGAGCCATTGCTAAAATTCACAGAGCCGGGACAACATTTTTGTTGATCGACAGATTTTGATTTTATTTAAAAACATTTAATTGTAACATTTAAAACAAAATGATAATAATGCATGAAAAACTCAATGTTCTGGAAATAAAATACATGTTTTTATATTGTATTTTGTGACCGCAATCTCTACTGGATTTAAAATCCTTATCCAGTAATCATAAATTACTTGGTCATTGGTCAAATGATGTGGAAATCCTGTAAAACCTTTTAGCTTGTCTTGGAACGCAACAAAATGTCACATATAAGCACATTCTGTGTTGTGCCACAACTTAAAGGGACAATTTACCCAAAAATGTAAATTCTGTCAGCAATTTCTTTCTTCTGCTGAAGAAGATATTTTGAAGAATAACCAAACAGTTGACAGGCCCCATTGACTTCCATACTATGTAACTGTTTGGTTACTGACAATCTTCAAAATATCTTCTTTTGTGTTCAGCAGGAGAAAGAAATTGATGACAGAATTTACATTTTTGGGTAAACTGTCCCTTTAAGTTGTGGCACAACACAGAATGTGGTTATATGTGGAGTTTTGTTGAAACTTAGCAGAAGAAAGATATTCATACAGGTTTAGAAAAACTTGAGGGTGAGTAAATTATGACAGAATTTTCCTTTTTTGGGTGAACTATCCCTTTAATGTTTCATTGTAGGTTCAACTACTGTATATGAAGCATCCTTAACCCATCATAACAGGGTCTTGCCCTCCAGACAGGAGTGTTCTTCTCACACACTCTTCGCTGTTGCTGATTGGTGGGTCGAGCGATTCAGACAAGAGGTTGATGGGAAAAACTCGAAGTCTCCCAGGAGGGTATGAGTGTGTCGTTGTCGCCAAGGAAACCAATGACGGGCAATGTAGTTTAACAATAAACCCTACTGTGAAATGAGTGAGTGGTGTTTATTCTCTTCCTTTCTCTTGCGTTTGTCAAAGAACATAAATGAATCCATGTGAGCCATACATTACTTGTTAGAACACTAAGTGCTCTTAGCCTTTTGGCTGTCCAACTGTGGCCTTTTTATTCATTTTCAAGCCTGTTTTCTTGTTATACCTGATCTTTATTTCTGTACTCTAGTCATCCAACCAAACTCTTGAAATAGAGGCACAGTGTGACTTGGTAATGGCACTTGACATGAGTTCATACTGAATTTGAACAGACTATGTTACATTTAGCATTAAAAAAAAACATTGTCACATTTTACTTATTTTGTTCCAAATCTGTACGACTTAAAGGGTTAGTTCAACCAAAAATGAAAATTCTGTCATCATTTACTCACCCTCATGTCTTTCCAAACCCGCAAGACTTTTATTAATCTTCGAAAAACAAATGAACATCTTTTTGATGAAATATGAGATTTCTGTCCCTCCATTGACAGCTAAGCAACTACCACTTTGACGCTTCAAAAAGTTTATGAAGAGATCGTAAAACTAATCCATATGAATTGAGTGGTTTAGTCATGATTTTATGAAGAGATTTGATCGCTTTATATGATGAACAGCTTGAATTTAGGCTTTTATTCACATAATAACATTGATCAACAAACATCAACTGAAGCTCAACCGTACTTGAACCGTAGCCTACTATTAGAATGAACCCTTAATGGTTCTTGTTGAAGCTCAAACGTGCTGCATAACACGAGAATGATACCTCATTAGAATAAAAGCCTATAAATTAAATCTGTTCATCATACAAAGCGATCGAGTCTCTTCAGAAAATTTGGACTAAACCACTTGATTCATGTGGATTAGTTTTACAATCTATGAACTTTTTGAAGCATCAAGTGGTAGTTGTGTAGCTGAGAGGGACAGAAATCTCTCAGATTTCATTAAAAAATAATGTTGATTTGTTTTCCGAAGATGAACGGGTGAAAGTCTTATGGGTTTGGAAGACACGAGGGTGAGTAGCTAATTAATGACAGAATTAAAATGTTTGGGTGGACTACCCCTTTTAGATTATTTTGTTGAAGAATGTAGGCCTAACGTTACTGGTAATTTAAATGTTTAGGCTGTTATATATATAACCACTGAGACAGAATCGCTAAATGATCCCCCTTCCTCTTCCTCGAATCATTTACATTTTAGATTTTGTCAACCGATTAATTAAAAAGATTGTAACGATTTAATCACAAGATGGACATCGTTACTTTTCTCATAGCCTATGGGCTGGGCTGATATCAATATTTTCATTAAATAAAAACTTAAGTTGTGTTCTGTTTCTGACAAATATCGTATGGCTTCAGATTTTAAATAGCCTAGCCTAGCCTATAGCACATTGTGTGAACTTTACCTTTTTTTTCTTTTTCTTTAGCATTTTTTTATACGCTTTTCGTGAAAGTACATGTCCATAAGTCAGTTTAATCTATTCCTGGAGCCCCACAGCATCACCCCGGGGTTTCTTTCTTTCCCCTTGGGTCACTATTTGGAACCTGTTCTATTTCTGCTCCTGTAAAAATCTATTTGTTGCCATAGATATGGCAAGATCTCCAGGGAAACCAATGATCGCGGCAGAAGATAGGCAAGTGATTTAAATTAAATTAAGTCAAGCGCTTTTGTGCACAGCTGACTTCACTTTTTCAGAACAGTCAATTTTAGCAATGACTGAGCAACTAACAAGCGATGATGAAGTAGCCTATACTTATTTTGTAGGCTACCTACATCCTCTTCTGTGAGAACCGATTTAATCAACTCCAGCCATTACTGTCTGATTGAAGGCTATAGGCTAGCCTATCACTGTTGCTATAGCTATTCAATTACGACAATGTCTAACTAATTAATGATTATTTGAACTATTCTGGTAGCTAATGAGAAGATTCAGAAAAGAACATATAGAATATAGCATAGTTATAAATATTTTAATTAAAAAAACAAATCTAGAATTCAAGACAAAATATTGTTCATAATGACTTTAATGACGTTAAGGAAACCGACACATAAAATTATTAAAAAACATTTTATTAACGGAAACTGTTCCGAATAAGAGTTGATTCTCCGTTTCCAGTAAACCCTAACTTGACTTTATTTTTAGGTAGCCTACTGCAACATCAACATACATATCCTTTTAACAATATTTGAAACAGGCACAGCACTGTGTGTTTTTTTTTAAACACAGCATTTATTTAGCCCTGATTGTTTTCAGTCCTCGGCTTCGCTGAATCGATTCATCTCCAATCGGAAGAGCATCGTTTCCTCTGATTGGTTCGTTCAGGCGCGCGCGCGTCTGCAGTAGGACTATATAAGCGCAACAGGAGACCCGCAGATCTGCACCTCTCTCACCGCGGGCTGGGGAAACACAGCAGCACACAGACTAATGAACACTCAAGTGCCTGTAAAGGTGAAAACCGTGTGAGGATTCGCAACGGAGAGGAAAATCATTAACAAATCCAGTAGGTAATTTAAGCAACAGGTTTAAAAGTTTACTTTCCTTGAACTTCATTGTAATTAAGAATTGTTATTATTTGATAGGGTATATTAGACGATTAATTAGAAACTAGTCATTTGTTTTACATTTCAAAAAGAATACACCTAGACATCTAAGAAATTATTTCATAGTCTATTGAAACTCTTATCATAAGCTGTTGTCTTTGTCTTGTTTTCCAGTAATTTATAGTTATGCTTAAGTCAAAATACAAATTTATGACGCGTTCACTGTCCTTTTAGTACAAGTACATTTGAAACTGTTACAACTCTCACCATCTGGTTACTCATTTTGTACTTTTGTAGAGGAAAAGCTGGATGGTGTGGATGTTACATATTTTAAATTAAACAAAAAGAATCTGCTGATTGAGATTGTCATTTTGATTTTCAAACACCATTTTTTAATGAGAAATTCTGTAAATTAATTTTGTTTAATTCTGCTATAAGTGAGTGGCAGTTGTCAGAGAAGTTGAACTCTGAATCAGACGAACCATCAGCATGTTCAGTGCAACCTGTTGCTATTCCTGTGCATTCAGTCTCAGTTTGGATATTTAATAAATAAGAATAATTAAAATGACTAAGTCACTTTTGTGTTAATCTTAACAGCTTATCATGTCCAAACGTTGCTGTTATTTGAATACCAATCCTGATCTGAATTCTGACTTGTAATGCTGCCTGAATCATAATCACACCGTGTTCGTTCGTTGGCCAGAGGAGAACTGAACTGAGCTGGACGATGACATCACTGTTTTCTGAAGAACTGCTTTATAGATGAAATTAACCAATTCAATAATTGATGATCTTTACAACGGATCTG